ATCAGCTGTAGCAACCTGTACCTTCCACAGTTCTCAGAGTGTTCTAGCTTTCTTTATGTTTTCTTGTCTTTATTCATTCACTTTAGTACTTCCTTTGCTTACTCTCTGGATCCAAGCCATTTTTAGCATCCTGTGATGAATCCACATTGCAAAAGGGACTGTTTCTATTGCTGCCTATGTTAAAAGTTGGCCCTTCCACAGATTGTACAGTAGAATTGGAAATGCACAGCACAATACAGTATGTATTCTCAAAGCAGAGCTGAAGTTTTTTTGCTTTGTATCAGGCCTGGGCTCTTGCAGGGAGTTACAGCATCCTCCTCAACATTATGTTTCCCTGGGATTGCACACTTTCTCTAAGGGAGGAAGGTCTTCCCATTGGAGGGCTGCCAGAGGCCAGGACTTCTTTTCAAAGTGCCCTCCATTTGAAGAGCCACCCGGCCCAAACCTTACCTGAACATAAAGAAGCGAAAGGCGGGAGATTGGGGGGGGGGGGGGTTGTCGTGAAGTTGTCGTCACCTGGGCTATGTCTTCCCACGGGAGTGAGAGGTATTGGAATTAGGTTTAAATCATATCACTCCTAATTTTGCACCTTCACATCAACATTCACATCGTTATATGCAAATCAGAGGCCACTTTCCCCTCCTTTTTTAAAATTGATCTTTACACCGCCCTTCTACATCTTCCCTAGGCCCCATAAACCGTCTGACCAGCCTGCCTTGTTGAAATGCATTAAGGAAAAGAAGCGAATTATGATAAAGAGTGTGCACGTCTCTCTCTCTCCCCCACCCCCGTGGGAAGCCGAAGAGAGATGGATCTCCCTTTAACTCTCTTGCAGGAAAAGGACCAAGCAGTCTTGTTCGGCACTATATGACCCATCTTCCACGGCTCCACTTTCACCGCTCTCGTTGGCGGTAGGTTAGTCTCCTTCCTTCGTTTTCCTGTCAGGCCTCTCTCTCTCTCTCTCTCCCGCTCCTGTGGGAACAGACCTCCTCATTCCGTCGCTTCCCCACGAAGCGGGAAGGCGAGTGTGTGGCGGTTTCGCGCCCCGGCCGGCCTTTCGTGACCGGCTATCCGGGATTATAGTTAAGGGCCGGTGTCTGCTCGCTGATACCGCGTGGATTTTACCCGCCGACCGGGTAAGGAAGGACCTGGACTCCATAGGAAAGGGCCAAACGTGGAAACAGAGCAAGCTCGCAGCTGTAGGCAGAGCCCCGCTTCCCACGTTAGGAGTCGTCGCTCGAAGGTCCTGCGTAAATGGTGGGGCTTTTAAAAAAGGCGCCAGACCTGTTACTTAATCTTCAATTTAAAAAGGCTCGCTCGCTGGCTCTAAAATCCTGCCCCTTTCACCGAAAGGCGAGGCCCCGGCAAGGGCGGCCCTCCAGATATTGCTCAATGAAGGCTCCCATTCTCCTCCACCCTCCGTAGTATAAGCCACTGGCTGATGGGAGTTGCCGGCCAACGCCGACACCTTTACCACCGGTTGTTTGTGCAGGGCCTGAACGCTCTTTGCACATGCTCAGGAGCATTTCTCTAGAGATTAGCTTTGGAAATGAAGGCGCTGAAATCCAGGCTTGGTTCCTTTACACGGGAGTCAAACGCATTAAATTGGGTTAAATGACTCCCCTCTCTCTCTCTCTCTCTCCCCCCATTCCCTCCCCCCCCACGTCCCTCGGCAAGTGTTTTCTATTTACCCGTTTAAGCAAACAGAGCCGCTTTCCCGGGGCGCCCGTCTAAGAGCAGCTTGTAGGTCATGAAAAGGTTGGGGCCCGGTTTGCAACTCCGCATTCTGCTAATTTCTTAAGAAACACTCGTTGCGGGGCCCCCGCACAAAAGGCGATGATTTAATGAGGAAGAGAAACAAACTGGCTGATTGTTGGCGCTTGCAACTTCCTTGGGAGTCCCTCTGGCAGCCACAAGCTGATCTCTGTGCCTTCAATGCGGCTCGCCTTCGGGAGGAGAGGCCGGCCTGAATAGAGGACAAAGGCGGCTTGTTCTGTTTATTTACCCTCCCTACAAGCTGGGTTAACCTCTCCCAAACAGCCGGGCTAAGCCCGTTAGCCGCACAGCCCAGATGACCCGCTGCAGAATCGCCACTGTCATGCAAACGAGCCCTCCTCCGGCCGGGAGGGGATCCCCGGCTCCACCCTGCCCGCCTCCCCGCCCCAGCCCCAGGCGCTCCGGCAGGAAGTCCCCAGGCCGACTTCGAGTGACGACGGGTCTCGCCTCTCTTTCCATGGGACGGCGAGGGCGGATCGGATCTCACTGGAATGGTTTCAGCTGGGAGCATGGGGGCACTGACTTCGAAAGCTTCGCCCATTCCTAGCAAGGAAGGACATCGGGACCGCCGGAAGTAACGCAGGATGTGGGCCCGGGGCCTCTCATGGCCCTGGAGACTTCAAGTGAAGAGGGAAGGCGGGAAAGTCATAAATATAGCTGCAGGGTAGCCCATGGGTGATGGAACTATGGTGAGGGGGAAGCAATGGGTTAAAGTTTAATATTTAGTCTCTTTATCCTCTCCTTCAATTCTATGCTTTGGTTATAAGTTGAGGATCAGGGTCAGACCTGTCCAGAGGCAGAATGCAGCAACTCTGGCATCAGAGTTCTTACGTTACAAAAGGGCAGCAAATGGTTAGTTTGAAGAAGCTACTTGGATGAGTAGCGAAACGTTTCAACCTAATAAGAAGTCCAGTTGCCACGACTCAGTTGTTTTGAGTACAATAGGGAGATTTCACCTCAGGTGCCAACATGACTTATTAAAATGAGGAAGCTGAGGCGGACTTCTTGGGGCACAAATCATGAGAAGACAGGACCAGCTTGGAAAAGACAGTAACACTAGGAAAAGTTGGAGACAGTAGGAAAAGAGGAAGACTGAATATGAGCGTTGGGTTTGCCAGTAGGAAAAGAGGAAGACCAAATATGAGTGTTGAGTCTGTAAAAACTGAGCAGGGGTGTCAATGACAGGACATTTGGAGGTCACTCATTTATAGGGTTGCTGTGGGTTGAAGGCAACTTGGATGGCACATGACAACGAATGCATATTGACCTGGGACCTGAGTGAAGGAGTAGATAAGCAAGGAGGTCATGGTTAATTCTTGTACTTAAGTGTATGCCATTTCCAGTGCTGTGTCTTAATCTTATTAACTCACCAGGATGGATCCAAGCTTGTTCATACTTGAGGAACATGTCTTTGCTATGCAGTACTTTACTACTGAAATTAAAAGGATTTAGATCTCAATGGGTCCAACTATTGTTATAGTCCTTCCTATTGCATTTGGTGGGATTAACTTTCTGATAACTGTATTTGATGTTTCAGGTTCAAATATAGAGCCTAATCCTCCCTTAACACATTAAAATCACTCATTTGGATGTAAGATGAAGATGGCTAGAGGACGAAAACAGAAAAGGATGGGTTACCAGTTCCTTTAGGACAGATCAAGTGATTGCAGTGAACATAAGCCTTACCAATGGATATTAATTAACAAGCCCAAAGTAGATCCCCTGCTAAGGAACAGTTACAGCACACAGTGCCTGTAGTTTGGAGATACAGTGGTAGAAAGACAGGCCCCTGGAGGACTGGCTCTTCTGCGTGGCTAAAAATCAGACCTCTTTCTATGGATGCTTATGGATATATAACCCCAAATCATATAAGTCCTGTTAATCACATAGCCACTGTTGCTGTAATGCTGAAAGGGTTAAAGGGTACCCCTTGCTGACTGAGAGGCATGTAGGCCAATTTCTGCCCAGAAGTACTGAAACGGGTAAGGATATTTATCCATAAAAATCTTCTGAAAAGTCAGACTGGAGATGACTGTCTAGTCTTCCGTTGTGACTACAAAAGGATGGCTGGAGTCTTCTTAAAGGGTTAACTAATCCATATGAAGTGGGTTTGAGTCTGACTCTTAAAGTGCATGCGTGGTGAATCAAGTCTATTAGCAAACTATCAGGATAGAACTAAGGAATGGCTCTTAACTTTGGATTAGTGACTCCACAAAGCAATGTGCCTTCAGGTTTAAAGAAGTTGTGAAAAGTTGCCATGTCTAGACACTGAAGGGGCTACTCTATCTTTAAAAGTTGCAGAGGAGGGGAAATGCGAGCAAGTTTCCTCTCCTATCCCAACAGGATAGTAAGAGTAGGAGACATACCTGGTAAAATCACCCATTTCTTTACAGCTGTTGAAGCTGGGAGATGGATTTTTATGGATTTATTGCTGGTATCTGTGAACGATATACTGTAGTTCCTTACAAATGGGTTGCAGTAGTCATATGAAGAAGACAGGGCACCTGTACCTTGAAAAGCTGCATGGAAGAGGGAGTTTCAGCAGACAAATGTACCTTGTCATGCAAGTAGTATCTGCTGAAATTATTTCACACAACTGGTCAAGGTACAGGAAACCTGGAACCCTTTTCATGAGGCCACTCTAACAACAGAGATGCTAATTCTGTAAAATGTTTCCTTGCCCAGCATCCTGTTAGGTTTGTGTATTAGGACAGAAAATTATGCATGTCACTTTTGCAGTTTCACTTACACATGTGGTATCTGGTAATAGGATTCCATCCACTATTTCCCATTGGAGTGACTTGGTTTTCTTCTCCTGTACCGTTCATCACTTTGTAGAAGAGGGAATTTTTCTTTCAGCTGGCTGGATAGCTCAATGGTTCAGGTACATGGCTGCAGAGCTAGAGGTTGGGAGTTTGAGGCCCCACTGTATTTCCTGTGAATATAGCTAGCCTGTGTGGCCTGGGGCAAGCTGCGCAGTCCCAGGACACCCCCATAAAAAGAGAACGATAACTCACTTCTGAGTACTCTTTACCTTGAAAATCCTGGATAGAATTATTATAAGTTGGAATTGATAGTACAACACAAAATACATACCTTAAACCCTTCCTTTCTGTTGCACCTGCCAAGATCCTTCTTCTAAAAGATACAAGAGCACTAACCTCCACATTAGCAGCTTCTCTGCAGAAAGTATGCAGAGGCAAAAATTAACCAGAGTCAGTTTGTCCTTGTTATGGATTAATTTTAATGAGCCCTTTCCCCCCAAATGATCCAATTGTACTTTCAACTCTGCCCTCGCAAGTGCTTCTTACAGGAAAGCACTGTGGTCCACGATAAGCAAGAAAAACATGTGGCACATTGTAGGGCATGCGAACAGAGTTCTGTTGAAGGCTGAACTGTTGCGTTTTTCCTTCTCCATGTATTATATGATCTTTTAAACAGCTCCCGGAGCCCCCCTGGGGGAAGGTTCGTTTAGCAGATCATTTTTTCTTGATGGCTGTGGCAAGCGTAACAATATTCTGAGCTTGCTTCAGTAATGGCATGTCGATCATGCTGCCACGGAAAGTGAAGGCCCCCTGGAAAAAAAACACAGAACATCAACTTCTTGAAAGGGACTTTGGGAAAGGAAAATTGCAGGCTTGGGTGAGTTTTAATACTTTGCTGCAAGTCCAGAATCATTAGATCTCACACAAAGTGAACATAGTTGTCTTGTACTGGCATTAAAAAGAGCCAAGAGGTGTAAGAAGCAAAGGGAGATGTAAGGACAAAGCAAAGATCTCTGCACGTGAAACATGCACACAGAGAGACTGCAGATTCAGGCTTCGTCTTTTAATTCCTGGACTTAACCACCCAGGGACGCAACACACATTGGTGGTAGGGAGGGCTGCCCTGTGCCCTGGCCACTAAGGCAAGGCGCCCTTCCTTGGTATTCCCCAGGGAAAAAAGAAGCCAAGATGGTAACTGTGAAGTGTACTTTGCATATATAGGAGATTATATGAGGGTGTCGTCCTTGCAATTCTTTTTTGTCCCGTGACAGACCTGCACTTACCACCAATCCAAGTGCTCTTTAGTGGTGTAATACTATTGAAATTCCACAGAGAACTTCTTCAACAGCATGAATTCAGACTAGTTAGAACCTTGGGTAAGCAACATTACCATTCAGAGAAGGGATCATTGTGGTGAATTCACAAGGCCAAACATGAACACAGGTGTATTGATGTGTTTGCCTTGTGGATGGCAGGACACAAATAGCAATCGTGGGCCTCAAGGAATGATAAAGTGTGTCTGATTCATGAAAGCAGGAAAGCAGAACAAAATATGGCTGGATTTTTTTGATGACACTTCTCCAGGATGAATTGCAGAGAAGTCCCACCTCCCATTTCCTTATAGAGCCTACAGTGTTTTTATGATTAGGAACTCTGTTAAGGCTTCTCTTCATGGGAAAGCTGTTACAGTCCCAATCAGAATGCACTTACGAGTGCCACTGCAGACCTTGGCTATGAACACATGAAGCCCTACCTGCCTTCTGCATGGGGTGCCCTGCCTTTCCCACTATGCTTCAAACCTTACCTGCATTCAAATACCAACACCAGAATAGAACTGTAGTGCTTCTGAGAGCAATCTTAAGATGGATTGTCTGCAAGCTTTCCTCATTCATTCTTCAAATTGTGGTCAGACTAGATGAAGAGATCTCAAAAGCTAGCACGTTGTTTTATATAACTAAATAAATGTAAGAACCAGCACAGACTGCAGGCTTTCACATTTTCTTCCTCAAGGAACTCCCTTTGCATTTTGTATCGAATGATGAGTAGGTATGCATGAACTATTGGAACATCGTAAAACAGAGACAACTTTCCCTCCTTGATGGTTAGAGAGAAATAGACAAAACATGTCCTATACCTCAGGCAGCAAAATATCTCAAGCCAGAACTGCAGTCTAAAAATCCCTGTCCCAAATCCTCATGCAAATATTGTAACTTTGGAGGCAAATGGTCCCAAGTTAAGAAATCACCATGGACGTTCTCAGTTGCGCTCTGAATCACGTAACTTGTTATGTAACAGATAATGTCTACAGTGATTTCTTAGTTTAAGGCAGGTTCTCTCCAAATGTTACATTATCTGTGTTACACCAGCATAATTAGGCAAGATGATCTGGGCCACTGACTGGATATATGAATGGTTAGAGCATGAAAACATGTGCTCAGCAACAGTGGCAACATTCAGGCTATCTATATTTCTTACATGTTTGAATGTGAGCTAGCTCAAATTCTCAAGTACCGCTGGTTCATTAAAGCACAAAACGAAAAAGGGCTTCAACCTTTTCTGCTCCATACTACTTGAGAATAAGACAGAGTTCCACAGCCCAGATGTCGATAAAACAATATTAAAATATTAAATTTATTGTTCTATTTTATATCCTGCCATTCTGTATAACATACATGCAGGGCAGCACAATATTACCTGCCATTTTAGAAAGCACTGAATTAAGCAAACTGCAATCCTAGAATCATATTATTAAAATAGGTGAAAACCTCAAGGAAGAAATTAGTGTAGAAAATATCTAGGAAATAAACTGAGGATGACATTTGTACACATTAGAGTATCTGGTGGATTTAGAACCTAAAAAGATTTGGAAAAGAATAATTTTAAATCCTAGAACAACTTTTTTTTCCTGAGCTTTACTCTTTAGCACTGTCAAAATGGAGACACAGATGTTAGAAAGTAAGGTGCTGAACAAGGGAGCGAATGGTTTTGTGTTTCATGGCAGAAGGCCAATGACATGGCTTGTGTCATACAGAAACAAAGGGATTTTGCCTCTTATCTCACTGGTGAAATGTATCAGGAAATAACTGTAACAAAAGGAATGTTAATAAAATGACAAGCTAAATTCTATCATGGTATCTTCAGTGCTCCCTTTTTGCCACTAGTTCATGGCCCCCAAGAATATCTCTTAAAACGAGTCTGGCCCTTGGGCTGAAAGACATTCCCTGTGTTTGTCTTAGAATCAATTGCCTTTATAGTTGGAGAAATGTGGAAAGATGGGCCCATTCATAGTTGAAGGTCATTCCCATGTGACTGCCTCATGCAGAGGTAGATCAAGAACAGTGACACCCACCGAGGACCAGTGAGGAGATATAAAGGATGCTGGTGGAGGAGGAAAGCATGGCGATGCAAGGAAGAGAAGGGCCAGGACAGGCAGCAGTGATTTTTGGACATTAAGACCTCCCCCTTCTCTCAAGGCCCCAAAAGGCTTCTCTAAGAAGAAAGGATCCCTAGGGAGACATGGAACCCGGGAGTTGGGGAATCAGACACTTTGAATTAGTGATAAAAGGTCATGACTGATGACATAATCAGCCTTGCATATGCAGAGCTACACCAACAGGATTTCAGCCAGTGTATAATCAGCAGGTTTTATACTTTTATTGCTCTCTAAAAGCAATGTGTTACAGGTAACATATTTGTAACATGTTAACTTTCGAACTCCACTAGAATTTAACAATGCTTCATGCAATGCCTGCAGATGCCACAAACTGTCTGTATTTGCATATGTTGCAACCTATGCATGACATGTTCCAATGTTAAGTATTCTTGGTTTTTTTTTACTTTAACTTGCATGCACTGTGCAATTCATGATATAGGCATATGTTCAAATGTTATATATGAAATAGCTCTTACATAAGTCCTAATTATACTTATCCTGAATAATTGGAGGGAAACCTGACTGAAATCAACTGAAGTGGCTTTTAAGTAAAAGAGGTTTAGGTTGGAAATGGCCCTTTTAGTCACAGGGATTAATGGTCCTAGCACTATCAGAAAAATCACAGTCTCTAGAATTAAAGCTATTGGATGATAATGTGGTCTTATTCCAGGACAGACAATTAGAGTTACAAAACACCAGGTGACCCAGGGAGTTGGCTGTTTTGGGTAGAAATCGGTGTAATGCAAGTAAGTAATATCAAAGAAGTCTCTATAAACTGAGCTTCTTCCAGGTTTGTTCAAACTTGTCTTTTGACATACAGAATGAATGCGAACAAAAAGTTGTAATTACCAGCCAATACAGTGTTAGAAAGAAAGATTGGTTAATTTTAACAAAATCCATGCCAAATACAGTGAAATGAAAAACATAGGATTGCTGCCACTTAAATGAGCTGAAATGATATTTAGGCTGTATTGCCTTCCCTTTGAATGCTCTCAGTATGCCCCAAAGAAGGCCATCTGGCCAGAACATTAGTTCTTTTGTTACTTCCTGCTTTGGAGAAAGAAAGAAAGGCAGCTGAGCATCATTATACCTGTGAACACTGAATGGGGGAAAAACACACCAGATATTTAAGGTTTGGAAGGTAAGCTTTTGTGGCTTTCTTATGCACAAGCCAAATCCATAGCCGATCATGCTCAGCAGCTCAGCTTGCCTTCATGAGCTGAGTTTGAAATACCTGTATTTTTCACAGTTTTGCCTACCCTTTCGTATTAGTAGGGATCCAGGTTTGGGGGCAAGAGATGGAAAAAGAGAAGCAACTTCAAGGGTAGTCTTTGTACATTTTATATATTTGGTCTATAGCTAAAATACGAAGACTCAGAAACGCTCCAGTGAATAACAGGAACAGAGTTTACACAGGTTACTTTTTTTGGACTACATTTCACAAGATTTGGCCATGTTGGCTGGTGAATTTCTGATATTATTGTCCAAAAAACCAACAACCTAACAACCTGGGGGTGGGTGGGTTTCGCTGAGAGGCTTATCTCAATGAAAGACTACAGTCCATGCCAGTCAATGTAGTGGTTAGAGTGTTGGACTGCAGCTCATGAGACCTGGGCTGAAATCCCTGAACATCCATAAAACTCCTTGGGTCAGTCAGTTTCTCAGCCAGGGTTGTTATGAGGAGAATGGGAGGAAGAAGAGCCACATATTTGCAACCTTGAGCAATCTGAAGGAAAGTCAGGATAGAATATAAACATGGCCAACAGCAGATGATAGAAAAGATCACTGTCTAAGACCCTGGAGAGCTAATATTAGAGCAGATACTCCCTGCACTACATAGACCAGTGGTCTAATTCATTTGTAGCAGTTTCACATAATACTCTTTGTCACTTGTGACTGAAGTTAAAGGCTCTGCAGAATAGGGTCCTAAGCAGAAGACAGTTCCCAATCTGATTCCAGGATTCTGGGATGTCTCAGTATGAAGAATGCCCCCTTTCTGGCCAGTGCTTTGCAGAAAATTCACAGTATCCTTGGGATAGCAGTGGCCTCAATATCATTTAAAGCAGATCATACCTAATTTGGATAAAAATACTGGATTTTGTTGAGTGGCCTTGCAGCAGGTTTGTAAACTAAAATATGCTTCTGTCAAGAGTGTTAGTGGTCAGTAAGTATACTTGTCTCATGAGAAGAGAAGACTCCCTGGAAAAGACCCTGATGTTGGGAAAGTGTGAAGGCAGGAGGAGAAGGGGATGACAGAGGACGAGATGGTTGGACAGTGTCATCGAAGCTACCAACATGAATCTGACCCAACTCCGGGAGGCAGTGGAAGACAGGAGGGCCTGGTGTGCTCTGGTCCATTGGGTCACGAAGAGTTGGA